AGAATAGGGCATTCTAAGTCAATATACTGCAGTATTTCTTCTCTCAATCATTAGAAAATATGGTTAACACCCGGTCATGCATGAAAAAAAAATACCGTCATGTACCGTGAAACCGGTATAATTTTGAAAAATACAGTGATATAATTTTTTGGTCATACCGCCCAGCACTATGGTATAATGATAGCATGGGTGTGAGGAAGGCCAGGCCCTCTGAGCAGGGGACAAGGATAAATTGCTGGAAGACAATGCTATACTTGTAAGATCCTAAAACAGATCAAAATCAATAGAAACGTGAGAATGCAGATCGGAGAGGATGGCAAGGGAGGGAAAGGAAGTGAAGCTGAATAAAAGCTCTTATTGTGTTACTCTCTTCCACTCAGATTTGGGTGAGTAGTTCTCATTCAAAAAAGATACAGCGGCTCTGAAACTCCCTGCAGCCAGTGCTCGCTTTGTTTAAACCTCTCTAAGACAAAGGAGTCCATTATAAAGAAGGGGGGGCTAACGCACACACATCTATTGCTCCCTTTCTGTCTTTCTCATAGTTTAGACAATGTGGCTGTCAAACAGTCACCTCATAAGAGCGCACTACTGTAGACCACTGTCCAGGTTTACAGCGTCAGAGAGGTTGTGTAGCTGTTTTGACCTCATTTATGTGTTCTGAGCTATTGTGGGCTTTTCCCATGGCACATAGGTGCTGAGTTCCAGTTTAAGCCCTCAGAGGGTCTGAAACTAAATTGCGTCCCTCTTTCAGACCAGTGCATTGTTGAGCACAACTATTATAGAAAGCTTGTGAATGTCATAATTTTCATTCCATTTTTAGGTAGATAAAGTGTATCTTCCACTTCTTCTTTGGTCCCACAATTCTGAGTTTTGCACAATTTTTAAAGTCAACATGAAATAAAAAAATATATAAATTTCTAGTACAAGTCTTATTGTGAATGAATTGTGAGGATCGTTGCATGTTATTTTGAGAGAATAAAAGTGTGTAGTATTTCATTGAAACAGTTCTGCCTGTGAAGCAACAATTTGTCTGGTGTGATGTCACCAACCTTATTATTGGGTTGCTTGTTGACTTATGAATGAACCTCTTTTCTTTACTCGCTGTGTAATTTTTCAGTTAAGATGATGTAAGTGACTAGTCACCAAACATCTTGTCTGATCTTGCCCAGTTATTTGAAAACTGTATGTTGTTGTTTCTGTATTGGGTATGTCCTTCTCTCACATACACTTGCAACCAGACTCTAGTTTTGGTGTTTCTATAAACAGCTACTGGCTTTAGTTCAGATGCACTAATGTTTGTTCTATATCAAGTGCTGTTGAACTTCTGAAAAGGCCAATACAAGAACTCAATAAACGGCTGCTCTCTAAAAAGGTAGAGATCAATGTCTAATGGCTTTGTACTAATCACCTGAAATGACATACAACTATTTTTATACATTTTTTTAAAAGGTTAAAATGACTGAAATTATAATACTTATTTATAAATAATTTGGTACAAACACTTGATATCTGCCCAAACCTGGCATTAGACCTAAAGTATTGGTTGGCTCAGTATTTGCTTTAGAGTCAATATAACAATTATGATCTTATTTCTTGTTATGGGATATTTTATTTCACAATAACGATATAAATCTTAATATAGTTAATGTTATTTTATTTTATTTTTGTAATTAAAATAAGAACAAAGAAACAAAAAAACAATAGGACAAACACAATAAAACAAAGATACACATTAAGTAAACCAAGTTCCTCTTCAGGAACTCGAGCTGCGTCGGAGGACGCTTTGGGAACGCCCTTCAGCGTGACCGGCTCTGAACCACATGTGTAA